TACCATTATTGCATCATAATTCTTCTCAGCATTTGCTGTTCAAAGCAGTGACAGGTGAGACATAATCCGAGGAATTCTTGCTTTCAATAGGAAACCCGGTTATTTTCAGTGATCTGATGCCCCAGTTATTACAGGTCATTGTATTGTTATAATTGTATCTGTTCTCATTTTGTTATTGTCTTCAAAATTTGACAAATAATTTTGTCTGAAATGTTTGATATTGATATACGTATACCTATACATTGTATATATACACACAATATACGCTGATCTCAAGTTAAAGCTACCAGCTAAGTTCCCTTGATAAGGACACATTGGAATGTATTGGTGGTAATTTGTGTCAGGTCTGTGCTAATTTATGTTCAATATGTGTACAGATCAAGGGTGTGTTATCTGTGTGAGGAGTGGATCGTCCCCACATCAGGACTGTATTAGGGACATAAGTAAGGAGTTGGTTGATAACTTGTCACCTACCACCATAAAGTTATTGAAGTCAATATTTGATGGGAACCTCAAACCTATGATAGGGCTTTCATTTTTCGCAAAGAGGAAAACAAATCTTTGTATAAAAAAGTACCAAGTATATGCATTACAAAATGTATGTTGTCTCATAAATTAATTAAAAATGGTAATTTTTTAAATGAATGTGGTTCATTTTACATATTTTTGAATATAAATGAAATTTTTAGCCACTTGCCTAAAGCAATACATTAAACACTGAAGCACTTTTTCTCACTCCAAGTGCTTCTGCTAGGAGTCGCACCTGGGACTACGGAGTATAATAGTGAGCTAAAGGGAAATTCCAACTTGCTTAATCAGTAAATATACTTCCCTTCCATGGAACTACCCAGTAATCCTCAAGTTTTTTGCTTGTGAAAGCATATGATAGGTCCAGGTGATCAATGTACATTATACCCAGATTCCTTTAGGGATGCCAATATAACTTTCAGATTACTTTTTCGAAATGCCACTACCGGACATCAAACCAGAAAGAAGTCATATGATAGTCCTCTTAGGACAATTCTAGTGTGATACATTTCATGTAGTACGATATCTATACATATACACAGTGTATAAAATGATGACTTTCACAATATCGCACAGTGAATATTATACACAATTTTCCGAGGAGTTGTGACCCACCAGATGAACTGTTTCCCTCGGCCTGCAGCCTCGGGAAACAGTAAATCTGGTGGGTCACAACTCCTCGGGAAAATAGTTTTGACTGTTGACTGATAAGGCATGAAACAACTGTTTTGTTACTTGACCAATGAAAAACAAAAGATTCCATGTCAAATGTGATGTTTAGATCTACCGACAGACGACCGTCAACAATCCAGTACCAAAAACGCTTGGTCATCGGGGTGCTTGTAATAATAGGTGCATTCGATTACCTAACACGTGACCAGTCAACAGTCGTAGGGTAGCAAGCACCAGTTCATCACGTGACCAGTCAACAGTTTCACGATGACCAGTCAACAGTTTTACGGTAGCACACATTAGTTATAGTTCGTTTGGTGAATTGTCTGGGAAACAGTCGAAATTGGTTATATAGCGAGTCGGGTAACAAAGTAATATAAAATACACATTTGATATTATAAGTGCCCTATCTAGCTAACCTAAGCCACGTACTCTAAATCGCTTTACAGTACGTACATAGATATACATTTTATTTCAATCAATACAATATGAATTTGAGCTGAATTAGCAGGAGCTGCCTTGTCAGGTGCTTACTACTAGTCCTATGCCACCTGGCTAATATCTCCCTATGTGTGTATGCCTGCATGTGTGCTGGAGTTGTATTGTGTTCTGTTTGTAGTGGGACTGTGCTTCCAACCGTATAATTTATAGGGCCACCTCATGATCACTTGAATGCAACAGCAAAGATACCGCAACATCCACCCCAGACCATTTTATACTCCACCTGGGTTGTTGGAGTTGTGTGGGCAGGAGAAAAACACTTTCTCTGAATATTCCATGCTTAGGACGGCTTCGGGGATCGAACCCCGACCGCCTGCGTACACGTGGAAGGCCGGAGTGTTAACCACCTGATATGACCAATCGGCCCATAATATAGTATAGTTCCTTTCGTAAAGCAACATGACGATAACTTGTTTGAGTAATCGCTCATTGTACAGGTAGTATTAAAAATAGTTATACTTTCACTTTAGCTAATTATAAATGATAGTATAAGTGTACATCTGTCTGAAATATTTAAAACATGTTTTAAAGAATTGTATTTGATATAGAAATAAAAACTTATTTAATATCAAGATCAACAAACAACATCAGGTAGGGATAATTTTTTTGTGATTGTTTTTTCTGGTAAGATTTTATAAATCGATAAATGTATATGTTTATTTGAGTGAGAATTTCATGTAAATTGAGACAGTTTTATATTGCTGCTTTTCAATAAACCGACCTAAAATGTAGCTACCTTTGTGATATGTTTGTGTCACTGATATATATATGTAAGTGAGCACAGTCACGAAACGGCTCCATGTTATAGTGTATTACCATTGTATATATGGACCAGGTATATATAGGTTTTCAACATACAAATATGGAGGCTGTCATCCTTTCTTCATTTAAACAACATTTTTTTCTTAAAAATTTGAGTAGCGTGTATCAGTGTTGATTCAGGTTAAATAGAATGTTCCATGTTGTGAAGGATTTATTGGTGGACAGTATTTTGGAAAATCATGGCAAAAATCATCAATTTTCTGATGTTGATAGATTCATGGAATGCTCATGTATTATATCAGATTCAGTTTTTACTTGCGGATAAAAGAATGTTTGAGAAGTTGGGGCCTGCAGTTTCTATAAAACACTACATGGAGACTTTTTAAATAAATGAGCAAAATGGACAAGGTAATATGTACAATGTACATGAATATGAAAGAAATTTTATCACGTCTTGCAGAGACATTACTATACTTTTTTTTTCAGAATTTTTGCACTCCATGAGTTTTTTTTAAAGATATACATGGTCAGCCTTAATTTTATGTAATGTTTATGTTGGAATTTTGTGTAGAGGCTTAATTGTCAATGGATGGTACTGTAGTTTAATTATATATATATCCTGCTGCAGACATCCTGCTGCGGACACTCTCGTTCCTGTTTTACATGATCTTGCCATTTGTATATTGATCAGGTCCCCAGGGGCTCCCTGAGGTCAGAAAGGATGTATTGATACCAGTGTGCTTGTTTATTGGTCAGACTTAAGTGTACAATGCACATCACCAGAATCTAGTATCGGTGTTAAAATATCTTGTCCTCGGTACATCAGTGTTAACATCAAAAAATGTAAACTGTACGGTAATTATTTCACCCAGTTGTTATTTTTCATGTTTAAAAAAATACCTACCATATTAGCAAAGTGTGTTGAATTTGCCGTTTCAAGATAAACGTTCTTTAATTAGGTCGTTAGCATCATCATCAATCTTTATAGATCTGTACCATCATCATCAATCTTTATAGATCTGTAGCATCATCATCAATCTTTATAGATCTGTAGCATCATAATCAATCTTTATAGATCTGTACCATCATTATCAATCTTTATAAATCTGTACCATCATCATCAATCTTTATAGATCTGTACCATCATCATCAATCTTTATAGATCTATACCATCATCATCAATCTTTATAGATCTGTAGCATCATCATCGATCTTTATAGATCTGTAGCATCATCATCAATCTTTATAGATATGTACCATCATCATCAATCTTTATAGATCTGTACCATCATCATCAATCTTTATAGATCTGTAGCATCATCATCAATCTGTATTACATTGTCTTTTGCCGAGATGTTACACTGTAATCAGAACTGATATAGTTCTAAACAATCTCTGTGGTGTAGAATTTAAGGGTTCATTGTTTCACAAAATATGTGAAAATAACATTGCCATGAAAATTATCCTTGACACAGTATATTGTTGTCAGTAGATCTAGAAAACAAGTTAATATGACATATAATTAATATAAACACTGTTAAAAATTAGCAGGAGCCAGTGAGTGAGGGATTGAGATAACCAGACAAAATACAATATTATACATTTTATGGAAGAATATATTTTTTATTGCAAAATGTAGAAATTGGACTTCAATATATGATAAAGAGTGATATAAATTCAACACAGTCCAAAAAAATGCTATTCATTGATCATAAAAGTTTTACATTTAATTAATAATTATTTGAAATTAAGATTATTTCACATATTTAGTTGATAAGCCATAGGAAATGTGCCTCTGGTTGCATATTCAGGGAGCTAGAATTCAATTTATAAACAAATATATAGAGAGTTGATGTGTACAAATCGTAGCATATGTATACAGTGAACGTTTCAATACTCCATGCTTTTGTACAAACAGTTCTTACACTTGGGGATTCATACATATAGTGAATATTAGTCTTCCAAACAAAACAACATTATGACTGAATTTCAGTGAGATTTGTGCCTTTAATGGTTGATTTACTTTCAATTGTACCTATGATGTCAACATTCAAAATAATTTCATTCATGACCAATTTAGTGTTTAAGTACAAAAGTCCTCCATTTTATAGGCATAGCACTCCAAAATAATAATATTGACATGCATGCTTACAGCTCAGGTATACATTGATCATTTAATGGCCTACAGGGATGATACATTATGTATGTACATTGTATCTACACTTGGGTCTGAACTTTTGGTATAAAGGTGTATATTTATAAAATGTCATTATGACCAGGAATAGTTGTGACAGCAGCATTCTCCTTCATATTGATCATTAAATGCTGTGAAATCTTATCGTAGATTGTGATCAGATAGATTTGTTACAGATGACCGATTCCTGATTCAGTGTACTGGAGACCAGCTAATACACAGCAATTCCATGGTACAAATAGTATAAAGAAATCGTCTTTGTCTTGTCTCCGATACAGCATGCATAACGACCTGGATTTGATCCTCCCTCTATTGATTGCTATACTGACTGTTCTATTTACAGTATGGCTGACTGGAGCGTCCTGAGGAATGCTGGGAGGGATTACCTGACCCTATACGGGAGTCGTGATGTCACAGCCTCACTCAGTGCGATGACAGCGACGACAAACTGTACAATGCAGACGCCGTCATCGTCCTTTTCGTACCTGGATAAGACTGATGAAAATACATTCTGTTGTTCTGAGAATGTGGAAGACTGTGTTACATTCCTAAACCAGGTAAGATCTCACCTTTGTACAAAGTGTACCTGGCTTGCTGGTCAGGTGTACACAGTTTACCTGTGAAAGGAAATGGTTTTAACAAGACGTGGACATGTTTTCTTTGAGTAGATAACTGTTAAGTCTTTAGTATGATCATGAAGTATTTGTCATGGGCTACACGTGGTTTAGTGATTGCCAAGCATACAATACATGTACAGTTCCTCGTGTGCGTTGAAATCCATTCATATATAGCGTCTTGGCTTTAAAATGTATCTACGGCCATTGATAGTGTTTCTCTTTACTGGTGACAGGCCGGTTTGCAACACATTCGTGTTAACATTATAATTTTTAGACAAACAGTTGATAATCGGTAAGAGTAATACTAGACACATACACACACCTAGTGTGCACAGCAGTCAGGTAATTAGGGCAGGTAACAGAATTGCTAGTCAGCTATAAACAGGTGTTAATGTAATCGGCCGCATAATTAATAGGATATCATCAGTAATAGGTATTGATTTCTGTGTCGACCATTGTGTGCCTGTGTTTGTAGGTTGGGATAGGATACAATGGCATTATTGACAATTTATAGAGGGGTTTCTCAGGTATATATTGAGTATTAGTGGATGTGTTTATTTGGTGTATTGGGTATCTATTTATCACTGCCTGTGTACATTAGAGGTTCAGAATGAATTACAGTGTAATAGGAGTATTGAAAATGTGATAACAGGCTTGTCAACAATTTGTACAACTCTTTTCTGTTCACCTTGTACGAGTACACTGAGGCTAGTATTGTTGATTGTTAAGTAGGTTTCTGTTCATTAACATCAGATCTTTTTATTGCCTCCCAAAGACAGGAATCTCTACAGCCTTTGTATGTGGTCTTTTAAGGAAATAATGCCAGGTTGGGGGGTAGATATATACATTAGACCCACTATAATCAATTGAAATAAACATAGTAATTTGTGTTTCTTTATTAGGATGTTACAAACATACTTTAATTAGTTTCTACATGTTAGTTATACATGTATACGTACTGTACATGTTGTTAAACATAGATCTATGTTAAAATAGCAATAACATGAATGGCCATACGAGTGAAAAAAGAATCGCTCATAATGAATTATATAAAGGTACATGCAAGTCACATGTAACTCTATAAAGACGTAATTAAGCACTCTTGATGTACCATGTACATAGACAGACTAATCAATATCATTATAGGACCACAATATCTGAAAATGTAAGAACAATGTTTCCTGATTAGATTAGAAAAATATTTTCAGAATAGTTTTAATGGGAATATGCAAGTGTACATTGTATGTCTATAACTATGTAGTAACTAGTTAGAAAAAAATGATAAAATAAATAAAATAGATATTTGAGTTTATCCTAATTTCCGTTTTTCCCCTAGGGGCTTCTCCAGATTTGACTTAACTCAATCATTTATAATATCAGTGAAAATAAAGACGTGGACTCATATCAACCTTGGGCTTATACTAACCATGGGTTTATTACAGTGAAATGTTATAGTCATATATATATATGTCCCTTAGACTCCATTCATCATCCACAGGACAGAAATCTCTAACAAGGAATACTTCTCAATTAAGAAGTGGCCATCTGTGACCAATATAAGTGATTTGTCATTGTAGGAACTGACCGCCTTGGGTTTCCAGACCATCGATCATGGTGACGGAGCTACAGAGGTGTCCCTGGTCAACAGGCTATACGAGATATTTCGACTTCATCAGAAGGCCAGACGTTTCAGGGAGGAGCTGGAAAACAGGTACATTCACTGGAAAATGATGTACTGGTAAAACTAGCAATGTATCTCAAGAATATGATTAAAGTTTGAAAGAAAAAGACTTGATATCAACTTAACTCCAGTTTGCTATAAATTTTCCTGCTGGAAGTTATACCAGCTTAAATATAAAATGTTGCCCATTAAGCTTTAAGTTACAATTTCTCAAAACTTCACATCATACTTGCCAACTTTTTGAAATTGAAAATGATTTGAAAACTAACACTTTTAAATGGCATCTTTTGAGATGTTCTTTGACTTGAAATCGACAGATCTTAGAAAATAAGAATAGTTTAGCAAATTCACTAGTTGAAAATGCTAAAAGTTAGGGTCCAAAATCGGGAGTCTTCTTCCAAAATAGGGAGACTTAGCAAGTCTTTCATACATGAAAGAGATATTCCAGTTACAATAATCCCACCAATGAAAGGAAAAATAAATACAGGAATAGGTAGGTGTTTGAAGGCAGAGCTTGAAGTAAACTTCTCTTCGTAGTGCTTCAAAGTTATAAGGTGCCTACTAGGGTGGGGATATACAGTATGAAAAAGCTCTAAGCTGTTCCCCAGCTGATAGCAAACAACAAAACCCACAAGTTTCTGTTTTCGGTAACCATTATAGATCTATAGATAGCCATAGGAAATCCTATTGATTTTCTGTGCCGTTATCGACTGGAAAAGCCTCACCTTCCTCTGAGAGATCACCTCAGTTTGGTGTAAACACATGTGTTTTGTCTCATTTATCAGTGATTAGCCTGACAGATAAAACTTCTTCGCAAGTTACCACCAACGAAGGAAGATTAGCACTAATTTTCCTCTCTGTAGTTGAACATGCAGAGGATACATAATATGTTGTCTGTTTAATGTTCATTCTCCTGTCTTTTGAAACACGGTCACTCACCCAATCTTGGATTCACCAACCATGTCCAACCGGTGAACTATTTTTTCAAGTTAACGACAAAGAGAAATGGTTTATATACCTGGTAGTTAACCCGTATTTCAGATTACAAAGCGCAAAGATGTTATAGAACAGGTTCTTTAGGGGTGATTGTATTTTTTTTTTTATCGTTTTCCCAGTTACCCTGTATGTAAAACTATTTCTGGTTCACTAGCTATGATTTCTGTTAAATTTGACCTAGTAAACATGTAATATTGTTTTTCTGAACAATACTGTTTGTTCTGTTTTGAATTGCTATCAAATAAAGTGGTGAAAATAAAATCATAAAAATGTCAGAAATTGTCTGTTTTATTGTAGATAATTTTGCATCATCTTGAATTGTCTTTTTGTCTGATTATCGTATAAATCATAAACCTATTAATTGTGCTCTGTTGGTTGGTTGTAGTTCATTTGAAACTGAATACTCTGTCGAGTTATGAAAAAAAAAAAACATACTGATGAGTTTATTTTTTTATCAATTTATCCAGTCTTGTTTAAAAAATAAATACTGGGCCAAATTACTGCCAAGTAGTAAACTGTAACTTTATATTTTAGTTAAAATGAAAAGGTGGCCTTTGGGTTAGATTTAATAAGTCAGTAGTGCATGGTGTAAATGATTACCTTAATGAAATCTTATTACAAGGGACTAAATAATTATACCCAGTACTTGTATTACAAAGTTTCCCGTTGATAATTTCATTAGTAGTGACGGGATCAGAGGTATATTTTTACAGAACAATTTATTGAAATAATTAAATTAAAAAATAAATGTGTAGTTCTGAGGAGAGACACCATGTCCTCTCCTTCAGGTCAGTTCTGTTAGGTTTGCTTGGATGTACCTTGGATCACCTGATGTTAATAATTAATATATATATGGAATTTATGAATTTTGAAGGAAAGTATACATCTTGTTGCTATAGGATCCAAATTATCATAAAAATAGGTTTCATGTATGAACAGTTTCTGTTGCCTGTCAATGAGCTACTCTTGTGGTGATCTTAATACATACTGGTATATTGCCATCATACAACTAACAGATATGTTGATACCACATTTAAACCAGGCTGGTCACACAATAGTACCTTTCAGTGTCAAAGTTTTGACAAGTTTTTGTTTATTTGTTGCTTGGTGAAATCATTACATTTTTATGACCGTCTCTATCTCATTCTCCATCTAGAGCAAGCCTTTAAATTGTGGCTGTGTGATGGTATGTCAGTATGTCCATTTGTGTTTAATAGTAATTTTATCTTCTACTTCATACAGATTTAATTAGTTGTTTGTTTCCAGTGCACATACTTGTTATTAATTTTTTAAAGGACACAAATCCATTACCTTGTACCTTAATTTACTATAGTGGTGATAATATTAAAAGGCAAGGGATCTTCTCCTTAAAAAGGAAAAAAATACAAAATGGGTACTGCATGTGGTTATTACTTTGATAAATGGCATTTTTATCATCATTAATGTGTTATTGTATTATTTTTTCATAGAATTAATACCAGAAAAAAGTTGCTTTTTTATGAATCTTTAAAATTCATCAATGTAACTACAAGTGTTATACTAAAAAACATGTTCAATCTTGGCAATGTGTCTTAAAAATTTGAATGAAATGTTCAGGTATATTTTCTGTCTACTGAAAACAAGTTTAATCTCATATCTAATTTCCTTCATAAAAACTGCATCTAGTCAATTATATGTACATTTACTTATTTATTAAACCTGTACATGTATATACAAGTAATATATCAGATAAATTAAGAAAAAACTCAAAGAAATCCCAAAATAATATATATATTGATCTAAAACTGCTTATATTGAACAGTGTGGCAGCCTTTTAGGGTGAATCTATGGGTTGATTTGTTAAAGCTCCTACATAATAAGAAATAGATAATGATGTTGTTTATCCTTTACTTTTTTCATTAAGAAGAGATTGTTATCACCTTTAGTTCTTGGCCAATCAGAATCACTAAAAGTTGATGAGATTTGACTGAATGATTACTAAAACCACCATGCAGATTTCTTTTTTGGCAATACATGTACCAGATGTTTTAATACTGAATCTGTAAGGTAATGATAATGTACCTGCAGCTTCAAACAGATATTCATAGATTTACATGTAAATAAGCTTATTACCTGTAATAATTTTTCTACTTTTGTATATGTTGGTACAAGTGTATTATAGAGAATCGAAGCGTACTAATATTTGTTGTTCCACTGTATAACTGTGACCAGGGGTGTGTACATGTGTGCGCGGGGCAGTCGCCAGGTACTGGCAGTAGGTCAGTGGTTTTACTAAAACCTGGCACTTCCTTTATATATATCCAGTTATCAAAATGAAGTGACATGATCAAAGTTGTCATCCTACCTTGTCAAGGATCTTTCAGTGAGATTACACTATAGTACATGTACTTTAAATGACTTTAGTTAACGTTGCCCTACTATTTACACAGTATATGTCCATATAGCTGGTTTGAAGACAAAAATCTCTAAGCCAATAAATAAATGTTTTACCCAGTATTTTGAATTGGAATTAAGGAAATAACATTGAGATAAATTTTCATTTGATTTTAAATTGCCTTCCAATTAGTAGTCGGTTCCAAAACTGTTGTAACATACACATTTCCGCAGAGTTAGCTGGCCATTTGTTTAGAGTTGGTTTGTGATGTTTAAGTAGAGTGAAGCTGCATTAAGAGATCAACTAACAAAGCACTAGTGGAACCTTCAGAAACCTTATTACCATGAGGAGCTCAACCTTCTTGTTCATATATTCTTTTATAAAGTTGTTTGCACACAAGATTAAGTATTGCATATTTTTTTTATATAAATATACAATATGTATATGCATTATGAAGATTTTTTAGTCCGTTCCTTTATCTGCAACTACCGGTTATCTAAATAGATAGTTGATAAAGCAGTACAGTAGCTAATGAATTTAGTACCCAGGCAACATGCAAATTACAATAAAGTCATGTTTCAGACACTAAGTGTGCTGCTGTTTTATTTTCTCTTATTTGGTCATCTGATTACTGATCGAATGCCATCATTTGCTGGTACAGATTGCGTCGATTGTCCAGTGAGACGGAACACTACCAGAGCTCGAACCATCGTCTAAAGAATGAGAAGGTGCAATTGGAGCGGGAGATTGGCAAGGAACAAGAAAAATGTCGACAAGTTGTCATTAAACAGAAGTCTCTGTCGGAGAAATTCAAGGCAGAGAAGGATGAGGTGTGTATAACAGTACTTACAGACAGATGTAGTTGTGATGGAAAAACAGAATCTCTGGTTCAAGAGTTGCTTATGGTAATATTGGCTTGGTCCGATCATTTTAGTCTTGTTGTTGAAAATGGTTTGTTCTGGCTTTGATGATATCATGCATGGTTGTTATGTGGGTGGGAAGGATTTCTCGTAGTCATTGCATTCGTATTTGCCTTAAAGGTTTTTTCAAATTAAAAATGTTTTTGACAAAAACCTGTAAGAAGGCAGTACCTAAATCGGATCAGTACCCAAATCGGATTACTGTTTGCAGAAATACTTATAAATCAATAAATTGCACCATATTTTGTCTACAGATAATTAGTTTCTAAGTTCCAATAGCACCAGAAAACGTAATTCAAACTCAAATGTCAGTGTTTTGATTACGTTTTTAAAAAATGGTGTGTGTGACGACTATGCATTCTGTTTTGGACTTTATGAATAAATTCACACTAAAGAAATACTTTTTGTCATATAAACTCTAAAGGTCATCATAAAATGTTAATATGCTGACAAAAAAATACTCATTTGAAGTGTAAGATACTGCAAAACTCTAGCCTTGATTCGATTTGGGTCCTGACATTCGCAAAAACCAGAACTGGTCATTGGTGACTTCAGAGCGTTCTTTAAATATCTCAAGTGACCCCTGGGTGCTAATTTCGTTTGTAAGAACACCCATCAATATTCTTCTTCGATACAACCATAAATGAATATAATTCCTCATCAGATTTTTCAATGAATGAAGAAAATGATGGTTTGGTGATCCGAGTTGGGTACTGTCACCTTAAACTTAAATTTAGGATATTCTCATTAATTATTTGTAACTGTTTTGGATGTACCAGTCATTAGATACACAACATGAATAAGGTATAATGTATTGTACCTGATGTATTTATCAAGAATGGATATATTCACAACTTTTCATGTAATCAAGATAAAAGGTATTCAGATCCTGTCTATAGCTATCTTATAACTGTTTTTTCTTGTTAGAGAAAATTCACTGATCTGTTGAAAATGAAGGGAGAATTTTCACAGAAAGTAATATTTTTTTCTCCAAATCCAGCAAATCTAATTAAAATATAGATGCTTCAGGAAAAAATCAATATCTTTCAGAAAAGTTGTCTAGACTCGAAATTGGTTAATAATTTGCTGGTCAGTCTGGTGTACCAGGTGACATTAGCCTAGAGTCAGCATGTCTGGTTAAAGGTATAGGTTGTGTTCATTTATTTACAGCAAGTGTATACATGGAAAAGTCAATATTTTGTGTATGATCCAGGATAGAATTAATCTTCGTGATTATTGCAGACTGAAAATTAAAAAACAACATATTGCATCATTTAGGAGGGGCTTTTGAAAATAGATTGATAAAAAGTTGACCTTTTATGAAATCTATGAAATAATTTTCAATAGGTTTAGATTAAGGGATTAGAACTTTATTTGGCATGAAATTAAACATCACTTATGTATGATTTCATTGTTGTACAATATAAATAAAGGTTGAGGACCCACAGGGATAAAAAGGCAGGGCTAAGTATATATACAGGTATACATAGGGGAAATGGGTGGTGAATCTTCAAAATAGACTTCTTTAAAGACCTTAACAAGGGGGTCAAGAAATTAAATTTGATATGTAGCATCTCTTGTCCAACATCTCCTGTGGTACCGTGTACATGTTGAACTGGTTAAAGTACAGTAGTATATGTAATTGTTATAAGTCAGCTATTGTAATGTGTGTTTTGTACTGTACAGGTACATATATATATATAAACAAACTGTATTAATTACTGGTATAGATACCATTAATCTTGTTTGATGGAGGGTTAATGGTTATACTCATGTCCCTCTGTGTTGTGTCACTGTTGTCTCGAGGAGGGATAATGGTTATACTCACATCTCTCTGTGTTGTGTCACTGATGGTCTTGAGGAGGGATAATGGTTCTACTCATGTCTCTCTGTGTTGTGTCACTGTTGTCTCGAGGAGGGATAATGGTTATACTCACATCTCTCTGTGTTGTGTCACTGATGGTCTCGAGGAGGGATAATGGTTATACTCATGTCTCTCTGTGTTGTGGCACTGATGGTCTCGAGGAGGGATAATGGTTCTACTCGAGCTCACATCTCTCTGTGTTGTGTCACTGTTGACTCGAGGAGGGTTAATGTTCTACTCATGTCTCTCTGTGTTGTGTCACTGATGGTCTCGAGGAGGATAAATAGTTCTACACACGTCTGTGTTGTGTCACTGATGGTCTTAATGGTTATACTCATGTCTCTCTGTGTTGTGTCACAGATGGTCTCGAGGAGGGTTAATGGTTATACTCATGTCTCTTTGTGTCGTGTCACTGATGGTCTCGAGGAGGGTTAATGGTTCTACTCACATCTGTCTGTGTTGTGTCACTGAAGGTCTCGAGGAGGGTTAATGGTTACTATTCCCATTCCTGGGCTGTCATAAAAAAAAGCAGTTAAAATATTGAAAGTATTTATGGCAAATTTGAAATATAGCTTCTGTGTAATTAGGGCCCCGTATCGGAGATACGGGTGCCCTATAGTAATCACTTGGTCTGTCTGTCTGTCTGTCTGTCTGTCCGTCCGTCCACAAATTTTGTTCCTGGCTGATAACTTTGGTATTTATTGACCGATGTACATGAAACTTGGTCAAGATGTTCAGTTCACAAAAATACACATTTAGGTAAAAAAAATCAAGGTCAAAGGTCAAGGTCATTAGGTTCAGAGGTCAAGGTCAAATTTTACATCTTTTCACTGATGAACATTTTGTTATGACATTATGAAGCAAAGTTGATCAGAATAAAACAAGGAGTCAACTGACCAAAGGTCAAGGTCATCGGGTCAGGGGTCAAGGTCAAATTTTGTAGCTTTTCACTGGTGAACATTTCGCTATGACATTATGAAGCAAAAATGTTCGGAATTAAACAAAAAGACATGTCGAGGTCAAAGGTCAAGGTCTTCATATTCAAAGGTCAAGGTCAAATTTTGCATCTTTTCACTGATGAACATTTTGTTATGACATGATGAAGCAAAGTTGATCAGAATTAAACAAGGAGTAAACTGACTAATGTTAAAGGTCATTTGGTCAAAGGTCAAGGTTCAATTTTGTATCTTTTCACTGGAGAACATTTTGCTATGACACTTTGAAGCAAAGTTGCTCAGAATTAAACAAGGAGTCAATTGACCAAAGGTCAAGGTCACTTGGTCAAATGTGAAGGTTAAATTTTGTACCTTTTCCCTGATGATCATTTTGTTATGACATTATGAAGCAATGTTGTTCAGAACTTAACACAGAGTCAACTGACATTAGGTCCAGGTTACGGGGTCCAAAGGGTCAAGGTCAAGTTTTGTATTTTTCACTGATGAACATTTTGTTATGATATCAAGAAGCAAAGTTGGTCGGAATTAAAGAATAAGTCAACTGACCAAAGTTCAGGGTCACTAGATTAATGGTCAAGGTCATTTGGGTCCAATGGTCAAAGACAAAGTGGATCTCTGACTTTGACCCTGGCTCTTGATGGAGGAGGTATATCAGGTGAAATAAAACAAATCAAAGCTAACAAATGAGTATTGCACCGGTGTTTGGAGGTGTAAGGAAACAAGACTCACGTCAAAGTACATGTAAAATGAACTTGCGATTCTTTTTGAAGTCCAAATGTCAAATGTCAAGCTCAGCTATATGGGCAGATTGCTTCTTGATGATTATGGGGGATATATTGCCACCAAACGGGGCCCTTACTGACCTGTCAGTGTTCTAGTTATGTTTAGGATTTCAATAACTTAAAAAAACATTAATAATACTGGTAAGTGCCTGGCAATTCATCTTGTAAAGAAAACTGATATGGAGAGCTTTAGAGAAAATGTGTATTTACTATGCATTTTTGTATGAATATGAACAAATTAGATTATTTTGCACTTCGTCTTTAATTAAACTGAAAGACAGGTTCATATTAGATTGAATTATCACAAACAGTAACAATTATGTTTTCAATTATACTAAAATAAGTATTTTTTTAACTTGTTGTATAAATCATTTCATACTACTGGTAAAGCTCTGTATCCCTGAAGTGAATAATGAAAGCTTAGAATAGTTATCTTTGAACCCTCTTTATATCTTTAGACCCTTCAGTATACTGTCTTTAGGATCAGCCTCAGAAACCATGAATTTATGTCCTGCCTTCCAAACCTTCGTCTTTGTATGATCAGTCCTGAAAACCATGTAAAATATTCCTCAGAACCCTCTAGTTCATAGGAATGATCCTAGAGGCCATGTAAACATGTTCTTCCTTCTTAACCCCCCTCATGTTTGTAGGACTTACCCATCCTGACGGCCATGTAAATGTTCCCCCATATTGTCCTGTTTGTAAGTGCTCATGATAAACCTACTTTAAGCACACTCCTAATTGAGCACATTACATAATTATAACACATTAGTGCATTGGTGATACTCGCAGCTGGTAGGTAATGGGACACAAAACAGAAACTTGAATGAGCACCAAAATAATTTCCCCAATATTTAAAGGGTGAACAATTACTAATTAAATATGTAAGTTTGTTACAATACAATTGTATATGAAAAAATCCACCCTTTTTCATCTTTAGAACAAACCATGTTTGCCTTGAGACTATAAAAAATGTGTCCATCAAAACATTCAGATCTTCTTCATGCAATTGTCTGTAAGAACTCCCATGGAGACCATATAAATAGAATAGAAAGTCTGGTGACATGGTTACATTTAGTGGAAGGTACCATTGTGTTAAGCTGAGGATGTATTCTGGATTCCCCTGGAGAAAACGGGGAAATTGTATTACAGTATACTGTAAAGGATCGGGGGTAAATCTAATACACTAATACATCATTCCCTTCATTATGGAACTGGAACCGTATACTAAACAGACTGGAGCAAGTTTGCAAGTTTACAATTTTAAGGCAAAAATAGACATTTCAGTTAGAACAAACTGATATATATATATAAGAGTTTCATGAATTGGCTAAAGGAAAATGAAGAAATATATAGAATGAAAAAGAAAAAGGAGAAATAACTATGTTGTATAGCTTTGGTTTACTCCGAGTGTGTATAATTGGAAGCTATTTCAGAATCTCATTTGCGCATATATATGTCTGGCAACAGACACCAGTGCACTGTATATTGTCTTTATAAGAACTGCTAGACGTATAGGAGTGAAAAGATTTTTGCCAATTGATCCCATTAATTCTTGATGAAAAGCAGACTCCCCAAACTCACTACTTTAGAAGTTGATCTGATTTTTGTCATTGCGAAATAGGTTTTTTTGGTATGTTACATATAAGACAATTTAAAAATTTAAAAAGGCGGAAGTATAAAGTGAAAGGCCTTTTCCAGGTATTGTGGCTACTATAATCAAGAAATTGAAATTGTGATATATGAACTAAAGAAATAATCAACTTGGATTTTTTTGTAGAAATATCTTGATTGTTAATAGTCTGTTTGAAATTTTCTTTTCACACTTCTTTTCCTCAGTTTCCTCAGCAGTGCAGATTTGTATAAGGTGCTGAAGAAACCTGGGCTGCATTGAACTGAGATTGATTACTCTAAAGAAATTTCAATTTCAAATCATTGGCTTGACTCGATAAAACTAGTTATTACACTGAAATTAGATTTTAACAAGAAGATGAAAAAATACATATTGCCTATTTTGCAATTCCGTTCCTTGTTTGGCCTGTGTTAACTAGATCTTATCCTTTTAAGCCTGGGTATTTTAAGGCTAAATGCACAAAGTTTTTTTGGGAAGAAAAGTGTCGAACTGTATGAAGTTATTGATAAAGATAGGTAACTAAGTTTTAAAGTGGGACTTGTAATATTTGTGAAAGAGTATGGCAAAATATTTCTGAAAATCTAAATGAGTAAGAGCAAAATAATACCTCTTTTTTTAATGGTTAATGCATGTAAAGCTGACAAATCTTTAAGTAACTGGTATGTGTCATGTAATGTAGTTATCAGCATTGTGAGAATGGTTATGATTTACTTATAATAATGAAATGACTTCTTTACATTCCATCTGAAATATTGGATGTGCATCCTTTAAATCAAGCAATTGTGCATACGTTCACCTCGACAGACCTTTAACCTGGTCACATTGGGCATCTTAACATACTCAAAGTAAATTTGTATTGCAAAATCATAGAATTATTAAATTAATGAAAAGCTATTGGTACGGAATTCACTTTGAGGTTTATTTGAGATGGAGTATTAAACAATCCCACATTTACATCGGTGGAGTCCTGAATGATATTAGATCGAGGGTTTTATCTGTATGTACACTATCTGTACCAATATTATTATAGGCTTTTGGTTTTATCATGTTGCTTGAAGAGAAGCATATCATACTAAATCTCTCCTAAGCCAGTACATGGATTGCGGCTGTACTACACGGAGAATTCTAACTCCCGTATAACGACAAACTACACAGCTTTATGTCCATCTTACATATGTAGCTGGTGTCTTATAAATGTTGGATGTGATTGTTTAATGCGTTGAATTAAAATCAATCAGTCTGAGAAAAATGCCGTTCCCTGTATTGAAGCGAATACAGATGAAGGCAAAAGATTTCTGTAATGGAAGTCAGTTTTTATGCCACGCAGGTTTTATGGGGGGTATTAATTAAGTGTTTACCTTTCAGTCAGAGCACACATCCGTGATTATTGTCTGTACAACATTTTGGTTAGGATTAAAATTTAGCTCCATTACTTAATTAATACTAGAAGTCCAACAGTCATAAAACTTCATATATGGATATATGTTAAGGAATCCTACAGAAATATATCAAATGTAGGTCACTGACTTTTATTTTTTGCTTCGTTAACTGACTTGAGTTAGACTTATCACCATAATGGTAAGAGTAGAAGTCTAACAGTCATCAACTTCATTATATGGATACATCTTGAGGAATATATCTCCACCATATGAAATGTAGGTCACTGGTAACCTGTTTTTTCTGCTGCACTGAATGGTCACACTTTGTATTTAGCTTCATTTCTCTGTTAAGACTTTGTGTTTCGCTCCAGTTCCATCAAAACAGAGGTTTTCAAGTCAAATGCATGTTTTACAAACATTTTAGTTATTTGTAAAATCCTAATATATCTTGATCTTGTCACCTTCAGTACACAGCAGAAGTTGTTAGTGTGAAAACTTTGGTTTCTGAAAGAAAAAACACTTACAACAATCAACAAGCTTTAGACAAATTGGAAGTAGTGTACCAGCTGGATAGTGTCAGAATAGCAAATTGTCTGTAACATGGGAGTCTGACTTGACTGTACAGCTAATTATAAGTAAACTGGTAAAGGGGCTACATTCAGTGTGTCTTTGTGATAACAGGTCAATATTACAGGTGTATCTTTGTCATTATAGGTAAAGTTACAGATGTTTCTTTATCAGTACAGTTTAAGTTAAAGGTATTTTTTGTCATTACATGTAAAGTTACAGGTGTTTCTTTATCACTACAGGTACAGGTAAAGTTACAGGTGTTCTTAAATTCGTCGGTACAGGTAAAGTTACTGGTGTTTTTTGTCATTACAGGTAAAGTTACAGGTGTTTTTTGTCATTACAGGTAAAGTTACAGGTGTTTTTTGTCATTACAGGTAAAATTACTGGTGTTTTTTGTCATTACAGGTAAAGTTACTAGTGTTTCGTTGTAATTACAGGTAAATTTACAGGTGTTTTTTGTCATTACATGTTAAGTTACTAGTGTCCTTTGTCATTACAGGTAATGTTACAGGTGTTTCTTTGTCTTTACAGGTAAAGCGACTACAGTGTGTCATCAGAGACCGTGATGGCCAATACAAACATGAGCTGAAGAAAAAGGAGCGAGAGCTAAATAAGATGAAAGAGAAACTGCACCACCTCATAACGGACAAAAACCCAAATAGGAGAATGGGTAGGGAATTAGATCTAAAGCTAACTTATAAAAAAACTCTAACAGGAGCCTGGGTAGGGAGTTAGATCTAAAGCTAACTCATAAAAAAACCTCTTAAAAGGAGAATGGGTAGGGAGTTAGATCTAAAGCTAACTCATAGTAGACAAAAACTCTAACAGGAGAATGGGTAGGGAGTTAGATCTAAAGCTACTGGTTACTCATGGCAGACTAAAACTCTAACAGGAGCCTGGGTAGGGAGTTAGATCTAAAGCTACTGGTTACTCATGGCAGACTAAAACTCTAACAGAAGCCAGCTGGGTAGGGAGTTACATCTAAAGCTACTGGTTACTCATGGCAGACTAAAACTCTAACATGGGAATGGGTAAGGAATTTGATCTCATAAAGTAATGTTAGCTTACTCATAGAGATAAAAACACAGGCAGAAAAAAATGTGTAGGGAGTTAAAATCTAAAGCTAATTCATTGTGAAATATACCTCAGGAAATCGACTTGAGAAATACAATTTGAATAAAACAAAGCATGGCATAAAATTAATGTTTTCAATAATTTCTTTAGAATATCTTAAAAAGGGAGGCCAGTATTATGGTGTTAGTTTATTTTAGATATAATAAGCTTACTTTTAACTGACATATTCAAATTTTATGATTTATATTTTCATATCATAACCTTTTGTTATGTTAAATTCATTGCATTTATAGAGTCATATTCAAAATACAAATAAAAATGTAGTTTAAATTTGCATAATCAGAGAAAAGGTCATAGTTAAAGATACCCTGGTAGATGACTTGAGAGATTTTGATCTTTCTGATTAACCTTTAATTTCCTCTGAGTCTCAGAAATTTACCTTTGCCCTCTTTATAGAAGTATGTAAAATATTTGCCTTAAAGTGACTGACCCAAAAATGTTGTCCTTTTCAAATATATAACCCTTTCAAATTATTTTTATTGGCAAATTTAATATCAATTCATTTCCTTGACAAATTCAATATCATCTTTTTATTACCAGAAACATATTTCAATCATGTCTAAATGTCAAATATATAACAAAAAGTAACATTGGAAATGTTCCCACCAGCACTGGGCACATTTAGAGCAACACAGACTGAGAGGTGCAATTTTAAACATGATAGTAATGAGTGTTATATCTAATATTCTCAAGGCAAAATAGAATGTTTTACCATTCTACTACCTATAGCTACCCTACCTAAACATTTGCAGTTGGCAAATGACAAGGACAATTATTTTCTTATGTGCCTTATCTTGATAAATTTGACTCTCCTAGCTTGTTGTACTGTACCATAATATCTTTTGAAAATAAATCATGAAGAATTTGAAAAGAAGTTTAATTTGTTAACGTCATGTCATACAAATGCAAAAGGCTATTTTAGAATTTGATGGTCACACTGACATCAGGTAAACCTTAAATATATTCACATCAACTATGACCAATTGAAAGATAAACATGTATGTCATATACCAATCGTGATATCAGATTTAAATCAAGTAGAAATGAATTTGAAACAGCATGTTATTGTATACATGTATTGTTGTATGTTGTACACAGAAATTGAAGAAACAAGAGGCCCTTGGGCCTTAATGGTCACCTGAGTTATGTAAAAACTGATGTTATCGATGTTGCCAAATGAAAAAGAAATCATTTTGTAACAAAGGTAACTTGAACTGCATGTAATGCAAAAGTAGTGTGAACGATCTGGGTAGTATACATGTATGTACTATGTACAAATAGTGGTTCTGTCAGTCTTAAAGACAGCTGAATTTTGGTAAAGCACCTTAAGACCCTTCCATCTATAAAGGGTATTTGATTCTACCATATCTGGATCTTGAGATGATTTTTTAAATTTTAGTCAATTTGACCCTTTTTGGCCCCGCCTCTCAGGCCTCTTGGGGCTGGGGACCATATAATTCACAATTTGGTTTACCTTTGGTCATGGAAGGTTTCTGCAAAATTTCAAATTGTTTATGGACGCACGACGCCGGACAAAAGGCGATCGCAATAGGTCACTTGAGACTTTGTCTCAGGTGACCTGAAAACACTGTAGACTAGATGTTAAAAAAATACTCATTTGGTTTCAGATTTATCGATATTTGGAACAGTCTTCCCAAATATAACATAAATTCAACAACTACAACAGACTCAGAAATCAATTCAGACAAACATGGGCAAAACCTAGAGCTAAATACAAGTATTTGGCTAAGTTACAAACAGATATCTGGAAGAGTCAAATAACAATATATGTGCATTCAATGTCATTGTATTGTTATAAGATATGGTTATAGAGGCATCTAAATGCCTGCATCCATTACATTTCCTAGTAAATCCTATTATATGTTAAACATTGTACAATACCTTTTTAAAATTCATTACTGAATTTGTACTTTGTTTTAACATAATTTCTCCAAAAATAATCTATAATGTAGAGTAGATGAAAACCTGTTTGCTCTAAACAGTGTTATTTTGATGATAAAGTTTTGATGTTTACTTAATATTGAAGTGAGGATATGGTTATTTATTTTCACAGGTCTTGACATTGCGAACTCACTTCAACGAGCAGACGGTAAAAGAAGTCAATGGAAAACAGGGTCACATGACAAGTAGGTTTTTTGTGTAACTTAAGGAGGTCCTTTTTTTTCAATTTGGGCGAAACATTATATAAATATATGAAGTTACACTTTCCTTGATTTTCCTTTATTTTCTTAACATTTTTTTTGTGTTTTCCTGGAATATTTCAGTCACAGTAATAAAAAATGGTATGATACAGACTTTTCCTTGAGTAATAACCAGAGAGCATGTCAATAAAAGGTGAAATAAACAGAAAATTCAGTGAGGTTGATCAGAATTTTTGTTTTGTTCAATTTTCACAAAAGTTTGTAAAACTGTTATGTGTGACCTGTATTTATATCAGACTACTTAGTATTAGGACCAAACTTTTTTTTTTTTTTTTATTTATTATTTTTTTATTGGTTTTTTTTTCATAGACAAAAAAATATACATTTTGTCGTAATACATAGTATTACAGTGACATGTGTACATACACATAAACACAAACAAGCATGCATGCATGCACTCATACTTATCATACATATATAACATACATACATATATAACATACATACATATATAACATACATACATATATAACATACATACATATATAACATAACATACACGCACGCACGCACGCACGCACCCACCCACCCACCCACCCACCCACACATAGGCATGCATGACCACACGCAGTCACACATACATATACGCATGCATTCATACACCCATACGCATGTACACATGTTGCATATACATGCATACATACATACATATATATGCATGCACGCACATTTATATGCACCCACACACATACATAGTTTACATGCATATGCACATACACATCTCAACATGCATGCACAAACAGATGTACGCACATATATATATACATACCCACACACACATGTGCATATGCACCCACCCACCCACCCACCCACCCACCCACACATGTATACCTTCGCACATAGGCATGCATGACCACACGCAGTCACACATACATATACGCATGCATTCATACACCCATACGCATTTACACATGTTGCATATACATGCATACATACATACATATATATGCATGCACGCACATTTATATGCACCCACACACATACATAGTTTACATGCATATGCACATACACATCTCAACATGCATGCACAAACAGATGTACGCACATATATATATACATACCCACACACACATGTGCATATGCACCCACCCACCCACCCACCCACCCACCCACACATGTATACCTTCGCACATAGGCATGCATGACCACACGCAGTCACACATACATATACGCATGCATTCATACACCCATACGCATTTACACATGTTGCATATACATGCATACATACATACATATATATGCATGCACGCACATTTATATGCACCCACACACATACATAGTTTACATGCATATGCACATACACATCTCAACATGCATGCACAAACAGATGTACGCACATATATATATACATACCCACACACACATGTGCATATGCACACACATACACACACATGCAGATGCGCTTGTATGCTGTAAGCATATTAGTCATTAAAGGTATACACTATACAATTTGACATTGAGATGTAATATTCTTATACAGTAAATAATTTTGCATTGTGAGATGTTTTACTTGTACAGTATATTATTTGGCATTGTGATATGTAATAGGTATATAGTAAACAATTTGGCCTGGTGATACGTTATAGTTATAAATTATACAATTTTGAATTGTGAGATGTTATACTTATACAGTAAATTTGTCATTTTGATACATGATACTTGAACAGTACACAATTTGGCTTTGTGATGTATATGTTATAGTTATCCAGTATACAATTTGGCATTGTAATACATTATAGGTACATGTATACAGTATAAAAACTGGAATTGTGATATATCATAGTTACAGTACACAATTTGGAATTGTCATATGTTATACTTGTACAAGTTTACAATTTGACTTATAAACAGAGGGAAACATGCACACGTTTGTACACTGCTACACATACACATGTTTATAAACATATACTCGCATACAGAGCTATACATGTTCATGTATAATATACATATTCACATATACATATAGACATGTACTATACTCAACAAATACATACATGTAGCTTCTCACAATCTAGGGAGGTCAATGTTTTAGGAGTTGAAATATTTCAACAGTGTACATTATAATTACAGAATATGTAGTATTTAGTGTATGTAAGGATGATGTTAATTGGTTTTGTTTCATTAGTTTTGCCTGTGACCCCAAATAGAATTGTACTTATATCAAGGTCAATATTTTTACCAAGTTTATTATGAATCCATGTTCTAAGATTTTCCCATAAGTATTGGGTATTGATGCAATTCCAAAATAAGTGTTCTATTTTTTCAGGGTGTGCTCTACAGAGTGAACAAGTATCAGAGTCTTTAATACCAATTGTTTTTAAGTACGAATTAGTGGTAATAATCCGGTTCAGGATTTTATATTGGAACCATTGGATTTTTGTTTCTTTTGTGGTTTGGAAGGGTAATTGATATATTTGGTTAAAATTAATTGCACTAAATCTATCATCTGACTTCCATTTTTGTTCTGCTGTATTTTTACATATATTTCGTTTATTCAATTAGGACCAAACTTGGTGAAGGTGTTTAATTGTAAATAATAAATTTTTAAGATACATGTAGCTGATCAAATGAAGTATGGTTTAAATTTAACTTACATTTCATGATCTGAAAGATGAAAATGGAATATTGATAGAGTAAATGTTTTGTTGTTGACAGACAGGAGGAGATGTACCAACTGGTGATCCACAACTATGAGGACAAACAACGTGAGCTGATGATAGAAAACACAGATCTCCGTGACTGCCTTGTATATATGCAGCGTGAGCTAGGCACCATCATCAACCACTCCTCTGATGTCCAAACTAGTCATACAGTCCCTCGGGTAAGCTCTGATGTCCAAACTAATCATACAGTCCCTCGGGTAAGCTCTGATGTCCATTCTTGTCATACAGTCCCTTGGGTAAGCTCTGATGTCCAAACTAGTCATACAGTCCCTCAGGTAAGCTCTGATGTCCAAACTAGTCATATGATGTCCTTTCTAGTCATACAGTCCCTCGGGTAAGCTCTGATGTCCAAACTAGTCATACAGTCCCTTGGGTAAGATCTGATGTCCAAACTAGTCATACAGTCCCTCGGGTAAGCTTTGATGTCCAAACTAGTCATACAGTCCCTCGGGTAAGCTGTGATGTCCAAACTAGTCATACAGTCCCTCGAGTAAGCTCTGATGTCCTAACTAGTTACAAAGTCCATTAGGTTTTGATATCAGAAGTAGTTTCAAAATAAAAAGTACCTTTGTTCAGGTCTGCGGGATTTAGTTCCTTAATTGTATCTACCTATCAAATTTTACTACAAATCAATGTGAAATCTATATCTTAATCATCTGTATACTACTACAGACAAACTACTTAATTCATTATCATGGATTGTCAGTATCAGAATACTTGAGAACAACTTGAGAATAGATTTCCCTATTTAAGAATGTATTCTTACAAGAAGAAATGTCTGCTTGCACCAGGTGAAGTCCTGAACCAGAAATAGTCTCATAAACAAGTCATCATAAATTGATGGAAACATTTTGTAATGATAACAACACCATTTTAAACATAAATGTGCATACTGAGAAGCCAATAATGATTATATTGTTTTAAAAATATCTTTCTACATAGTTTTAAGATTCAAATATGATTATTTATTTTTTTACTTGACAGGGCGATGTTGGGGAGCTCTCTGGCAACAGTGAGGATGATGATGATGATGGCATTTCCTCTGTCACTATCAAGGACCTTTCAGATGGTATTTTTTATTTTTACTAATTCCTTACTATTATTAAACATAAAGTTTGCAGCATTTTCTATTTGATTAAGTTTTAAAATTTAATTTCACATAAATGATAATGCTTTGGCCATGAAAATTGACAAATATTTATTTACACTGTATTCAAAAATTTGCAGTATACACACAGGAATATACTTCAGTATTGAACATTTTCATTGGCCATTTTCCTGCATTGATGTCCACTTAACTTTATATTTTTCATTTTTTCATTCCAAGGTTATTTCCAAATGCCTTATGACCTGATGAAAGACAATCTACGGCACTCGTTTAAGGAGATGTTTAAACTTATCAAGAAGTCCATGGAAAAAAGCAGTATACCTCCCAGTAAGTGTAAAATGGACACAATTGTGGAAGCAACATGTGCGAACTAGTTCTATTTGAGAGAATTTCCCCCGGTTTTGCTCTTAAACAATGGTTCGAAGTGTTACAGGGTCAACTATTCTAGGATTAGTTCAATACAGGGTGATTACCTTTAGAAAGATGCAAGGAGAATAATTAACAGTGTAAGTGCAAGTTTACAGTATTCATGAAATTATCATGTTGCAGGTCAGCTACCGAAGACAAAATCTAGTCCGCCACGACAGATCCCATCAGCAAGGAGAACACCAAGTGTGGAGACCGACAAACTACTGAAACAGGTCCAACAGTACAAAGAAATCATTCAGCAGCAGAAAGAATTCATACAGGTATGTGTTAGGTAAACAGAAAGTAGGTTTATCTACTAAGTATACATAGATGTCCTGTGTTATTTATATAAAAGTGAACAGAAAGTAGATTTATTTACTAGGTAGATCCTGTGCCTTATAAAGGTAAACAGAAAGTAGATTTATTTACTAGGCAGGTGTCATGTGTTTTATAAACTTAGGTAATCAGAAAGCAGGTTTACTGGATCAGTGTGTTATACAGGGAAAAACATGGACATAGGGTTTAATAAATTTCCAGTTAACAGATAGGTAAAGAGACTGTTTGAAAGACTTAATTTATGAACTTAATTTGATATTTGAGACATTTATTAGCTCACCTGGTCCGAAGGACCAAGGTGAGCTTATGCCATACCGTGGCGTCCGTACGTACGTCAACAATTTCTTTCAACGACTTCTTCTTCTTAACCACCGGTTGGAATTAAACTAAATTTAACTGGAAGCATCCCTAGGTGGTGGGGATTCAAAATTGTACAAATGGTGGGGCTGACCCCCCAGGGGGCTGAGGGGCGGGGCCAAAAGGGGTCAATTTGCCCATATTGCTTTAAGCGACTTCTTCTCTGGAACTAAGAAGTGGATATCAACCATATTTGACTGGAAGCATCCCTAGGTGGTGGTGATTAAAAATTGTACAAATGGTGGGGCTGACTCTTCAGGGGGCTTAGGGGCGGGGCCAATAGGGGGCAATTTGGTAATATTGCTACAAACGACTTCTTCTGTAGAACTGTGCACTGGATATGAATCATATTTGATCAAAAGCATTCCTGGGAGGCGGGGATTTAAAATTGTACAAATGGTGTGGCTGACCCCCCAGGGGGCTGAGGGGCGGGGCCAAAAGGGATCAATTTGCCCATATTGCTTTAAGCGACTTCTTCTCTGGAACTAAGAAGTGGGTATCAACCATATTTGACTGGAAGCATCCCTAGGTGGTGGTGATTGAAAATTGTACAAATGGTGGGGCTGACACCCCCGGGGGCTGAGGGGCAGGGCCAAAAAGGGTATTTGGCTATATTGCTTTAAGTGACTTCTTCTCTGGAACTTAGCGATTGATATCAACCTTATTTGACTGGAAGCATCTCTAGGTGGTGGAGATTCAAAATTGTACAAACGGTTGGGCTGACCCCCAGGGGGCTGAGGGGCGGGACCAAAAGGGGGGCAATTTGGTTATATTGCTATAAACGACTTCTGCAGAACTANTAAAATTGTACAAATGGTGGGGCTGACCCCCGGGCTAAGGGGAGTGGCCAATAAAATGTATTACTTGGAAATGGTTGAGATCCCCACCATATAACCATATATACAATTGCTGAGTATAAAGAGAAGAATGCACATTTGCTTCCAGGATGTCTCTAGGGTCTGGCCCCACCCTTGGAGACATAGTCCCTGGGCCATAACTTTAAAACGGTTGAGATCCCCACCCCAAAACTATATATACAAATGCTGGGCATAAAGAGACGAATGCAATCATGATATCAGAATAGACCCTGGGGTCTGACCGAACCCCTAGGGACCTAGTTTCTTAGTCACAGCTTGGAAACAGTTGAGAGCCCCACCCTATAACCGTATATATACAATTGCTGAGTATAAAGAGATGATTGCACATATGCTTCCAGGTTGGCCTTGGGGACTGCCCCACCCTTGGAGACTTAACCCCTGGGTCATAACTTTGAAATGGTTAATATCCCCACCCCAAAACTATATATACAATTGTTGGGCATAAAGAGACGAATGCAGTCATGA